TTCTTCTGTTGGGCCGCTTTCTCCATGAAAAAGTAGTGAACAAATAGTAACATCATCAATCGTCACTTCAACCACATTATTTTTTCATCCATTTTGAACATGTTTTAATGTGAATTTTGCCTGATGAATATTTTTTTACGATATTGCAAGCAAAAATTTATAAAAAATAATATGTGTTACCTTTGAATGATTTATACCATGTGTCACTTTAACATAGTACTCCATAACAACACCGTTTCGTTGTTCCTTTCCGTACAGATAACATAATTATAAATGATTACAAAAATTTATTTTTCAATTAAGAGACTTATTACTTTATTTTTTTCTTCCTTTTTTAAATGAATAAACTTAAATATTTATCAATTATAATTTTTTTCACGTGGGCATTTAACATGCTTGTTTACAAAAAAACAGTACGAAAAAGATGGCCGATACTGAGGCATGCGCAAAAAAAAATTGTAATGAAATGGCCTATTTTTATCAATAGTATACCTACCTAGTTATTCTTATCGATCACAGCCTCGATTACAGCTATCTCAGTTATAAGAAAAATTGGACATAATATCAATTTTGGATTCAATTTTCTATATTTTTTTATTATCTATAAGCTCATTCGAATAAAAAATAATGCATGAAACACGGACTCAACTTTTCGTCTTCATAACATAAACTACTATTAAATCGCCATAGGTATTGCAAAGTATCTATTTTTAATATTTGAGTGTTGCTTGTCGCAATTTGAAGTGTATTTTCTATCAGAAGATCGACTACAATTTTTTACAATTCTGTTACGGAACATTGTTGCCCAAAAAATTGACCTTTGAAACGATGGTTTTGTTTCACAACTTCAGAAGTGGTGGTTCATGATTCGCTTTAAAGCAACTGACAATAAATAATAATACAATAAAGGCATACAATCCTTTCTTATTGGCTAGGTTCCAGTTGTCTAAAATTAATTGTGGGCGACTATTAGTTTCACGAATGACAATATCTGTAATTTTATCGGAAAGAAAAAGTTTGAAAGCATCTGACTTAGTAGCAAATTTGAACTGTAATTACTTAGTTATCCCATGTCTTTTAGTTAGGATGCTTCTTGATAACTGTTTGGATAGATATTTTAGGTTTATCTTTATTCCAGACTGTGCCATCTTTTGCTAAAATATTTTTCTTTTGGTTTATACTCAAAATTTAATAAATAAAATTTGATAGGACAAGCGGTATTTGCAAAGATATTTTTTTAAATAAGTAATAGGTAATAATCTAAAAGTGTTTAATGAACATTTTTAAAATAGACATGTTGCTTAATTTATTAAAGTAAGTCCTTGGTGCTTAGTAATTTATTTGAAAAAAAACTGTTTACAAGCACCTGGAAACAAGTAATCAGCAATGATTTCAAACACTTTTTGTGTAAGTGGTGATTGAATAGTACAATTACTTTACTCGATAATTGGTAATTGCAAGCACTTGGTGCTTGAATTACTTACTTTTCAAAAGGACTCGGTGCTAGAAGCACTTTTTTCGAGTGCTTTGCCCAGGTCTGAGAGGTACCAACAAAATATTATTAGTATTACTATTGGAGTTTCTCTTTTTTTAAGTGCAGTAACCCTAACAGTAACCACAGTAGATGTCCAAGAAGATTTGTAATGTTCGCGGTGTAAAATTAATCTTCTATGATTTATCAGGTGTCAAATTAACCACTATGTATGGGCAATGCATATTTTTATCCGGTAGGTACAACTGAACCTTGTTTGTTATTGTATTGTATCGATATTTTTAAAGGGTGATTACTCCGTGACTATATGCATGATCTTCTAAAAAGTTTTGTCGTTTCGTTATAGGTACTATCTTAACAGAACTAAATGTCATTGCAAAATGTAACAACCTTGTTCTTCCCTTGTTTATTTAAATTTACTGGTAACAAGTCTAAACGTATGGTATAAACTTTTTTGAAATTTCGGAATGGGGGCGAGTTCTGTATTTTATCATTTAAGTTCCCCCTTCGTATTCCAGTTTTAAGCATTTTCTAATACTTATATTATTTTATTTATTTTCAAAAACAAACAGGCATTAGCCTAATTACATGTTTCTATAATATTATTAACAAAAAAAGAAATCAACAAAAATACACAAAATATAATTCATACACTTAATTTTGTTTATATTAAACAAACATCGCTACTAAAATGTTTTTATCAAAGTTTAAAGAAAAATAAAAATGATAAAATAACTAGAGATGCTACTCGTAAAATAATCAGAGCGCAAGCAAACTCCACACGAATATCCTACAAAATCATGTTACTTTAATAATTTTTTGTAAGTTCTCTTCTGTAGATGTCTTCGGAATGTACGTTAAATAATAGACAAATTTTTTCTATTGGACCATGATTATTCGCACAAAAAGTTAATTTACGGGGGCAAATACCTGCCACTGGAACATTGATTTTTATTTGACTCTTGACTCAATAAATATTGACTATATATCCATTTAACAATTTATGTAGAAATACGAGGTTAATTATAGAGCGCCTACGTTCCAATTTTTCAATTTTAAACTCATTTCTAATAGGTTCAAATGAGACAAAGCCTGGACTCGTACGATACTTTTTGAAAAATAAGTATTTAATACATTTATTTTGAATGATTTCCAAAATTTGTTTTAAATTTTGTTGCGTAGGGTCCCACACAGTGGATGCATATTCTAATTTACTACGAACGAGAGAAAAAAATTAATATGTAATTGAGTATGTGTCTGTAAAGTCCCCAGTCGGTACGTTTCAGAAATCCTAATAATTTGTTAGCTTCTTTGGTAATAATATGGATATGCTCATCAAATTTGAAGTTATTTTAAAAAATATTCCCAAATCGGTCCATTTTATACTCTCTCTAGTGCATTGTGTAGATAAAATTTTGAGGATTACGAATTTTGCTGAATGTAATTACCTTGCATTTGGAAAGATTAAAAAGAAACTTATTTTCTAATGAACAATCCGAAATTGAGTCTAAGTCATTTTGAAGGTCTAGATACCTAATCATCAAGGGTGGAGATTTTTTTAAAAACTTTTAGATAATCTGCATACATCAGGCAGTCTGATGTATAATACGTAGAGGGAGATCATTGACAAATATTATATATAGATATACCCACCTAGCCATTGTAAGTTTTTAAATTTTCATCCGTAAACAGATCTACGTAATTTATATAAGATGGTTATTTCAATATCCGAAATAATAACAGAATAATATTATTATTATTAGGTATCTCAAACCTCAAAACCTGCGTAGGTCGAATGAGAGACAACATTCTAAGTATGCGTAGGAGTAAATTTGTTAGATTGTATCAGAATGGATGTAAACATAAAATTAATTTAGTCATTCCGAAAACAAAATAATATTACTTATTTTATGTTTTAATTTCTATTGTAGCAACAGTCTGCCAAATAGAAAATCCAAAATATTTTATTTCCAAAAAAGAAAATTGTGCAGGACTAAACATAGATCCTAGGCAATACTTTTATGTTACTATTTCCTATAAGTATTTAATATTCTAAAATTTGTATTAAACACAATAGGTCCATGTAAATAATAAAAACAACTAAGAGATGTTCAAACATGTAATTTAATTCAATAAATAATTTCTAAAATCTTTGAATTAATTTCTGAATCCAATTAAGCAATAATTCTCATGGTTTCTATCGTGGGTTCCATATAAGATACCTATATAAGTTGGGTTGTTCGTATATTACTTATGTAAGATATAAATTAAAAGGTTGAGACAAAGTATCAAGCAACACAACCCAATTTTTCCGTTTCGAACCAAATCGAATAGGTGTTGCCAGAAGGCGCTCGAGAGCTACCCAGGAAATAAATCACCGAGGCCGAATTACCGGAGGTCAAAAAACGTACAGCGACACCTCACGCTACAATCGCATCCATCCATCCGTCAGGCAAGCTTCCCGACGAACATATGTTCATAATTTCAGTACCGCCACATTCCGACAACAATGTAACAGTACCACAATGCCGTGTCCCATAATCATCTCGGTCACGTGTTACAAACTTGGACCTTTACGCCCAAACCGCCCCCCGATTCGGGATATTATTACGATAATTCGCATTGTTGCGGCGTTGAACACCGCTCGACGCCATAAAAACATCCAAAAAGCGCGTAAGTGAGCGAGAAATTTGATAATTGTTGGCAGATGTATATCGTGTGTTATTTTTTATAGGAAGGATGGTCGGCGGTGACGATGCCGGACTGTGGAAAATTTACCCAGATCTGGAGAAAAATCTAACTCTCCATTACCATTGAATTTTGATTTATTATAGGTTACTAGATGCCAAATTATTCATAATATCGAACTAGTTTATGATCAAGCGTATATCAAACATCTGATTAAAAACGAAACATTCAATAAATATTAATAAAAAGATAATTAAGTCCAAAAATTGAGATTGTATATAAATAAAAGCCACAAAGCTACTAATTTATTAACCAGTAATTATCGAAATTTATTAATTACTAATTAGCAGAAGTAATATGTACTTTTTAGTGAAAATCAACACTGTTAAAAAATTAAAAATCCCGAAAGTCCTTTTATTATATTTTAACTAGTAATACCTATACATTTATTATTTAAAATTTTAGACCATTTTAGGCAATCTGAGACCTTATTTACTATTTAATCCAGTAATTTGAGTATTGAGTATTTATTCACTTCATATTTGAGTCTTAATTTTAAGTTTTTTCTCACTTTCTGATCAAGGTATACAACTCTTAATACGTTCTTACATATCCAGTAATTAATTTTTTACGATATTTAAAAAAATTACGAATATAAAACAATTTTTGCTTTCTGGGGACTATCTTGCCGATCAACGTGGCAACGTCGCATCGAAACAGACGGTATCGCAGTGCGCGCGCACCGTCTCTCTCACGTGCATGTGTCAACCCGAATCCGCTTACACCGAAGATCACGTAAAGAGGTTATATTGAAACTCACCTTTTTCATAATGCCTGTTTTTCGCTTGGAAAACGTCGTATATCGCCGTAACTTATTTTCGATGTACTCCATCTTGATCTTGACGCGGCCTTTGGTCTTTTTGCCGTTGCTAGGCGGCGATTTTTTCGATTGCAACGAATACGAATCTTCGTTGATCTCGTTCACGCAGCTGTCCAGACCCATTCCCTGGCCGGACAAACCCCGCTCGTCGTAAATGTCAGATTTCAACGCGCGATTACAAGCACTAGAAACCATCGTATGCCTCGGAGAAAGCTGCTGTAAACTCGTACTAGGCCTGCCTAGGTTAGGATTACCGTAGATCTCGGGGGACGTTTCCCCGCTGAGCAGATTCATGTTGTAGCCGAGGTTGAAACGGGAATCCCTCCCGCCCGGTGGTTCCATTTCGCACCACAGTTTGACAGATGTCAACAACTAAATAATAAACAAAAACAAAAACTGTAAAACTCGCGATGTATTTGACGGGAGCCAACGCACTCTCTTCGCTGCGTTTCGGCACACAATCACAGCTGACTGCACAATACGATCTGTCGGGCCGTGGGGCAATGTCGTGCGCCGCCCAGCGATTTCGCGCCACGGTGCCACATCTCTGATAATTATGTAAATATAGGAATTTTTAAAAACAATTTTTTTAATTCATGCTTTTATTTACTGCAGTTTTCTTAATATATTATTAACGCTATCTATTTTGTGTTCGAAATGAATTAACGTTGTTATTAATTTCAGATTTCTTTAGATAGGATAGATGTACCTATATAAAATACAGGTAACCTCTAAAATTGGATAGGAGAATAACTCAGTAGGTAGGTTTTTTTTATAAAATATACGAGAAACTACAAAATCATTTAGGCCGTTACTGATTTTGTTTTTTTGCCATTCAAAACTACTTATTGCATGTAGAATGTAAATATAGGTACCTATTCAGATTTAGCCATCCAAAACTAATTATTACACGCAAAAAGCAAGTATAGGTATCTTATACAGGGTGTTTCACTACTTATCCACATATACAGTGTTACATAAGAAGTCCATTACACAAAAAATAATGCAATAAAAGTGCAACAAAAAACAAGATAGAAAATAAAAATATTCAAGAGTATTTGTCATTTAAGGTTGTCGGATAAGGTGGAAAACAACAAATTAAAATTGTAGAATGGATGGTCGCCATTATTTGGAATTTCTTAGGCATGATTTGCAGATCGTTCTTGAAAATGTGTCCTTAGCGGTCCGATTACGGATGTATTTTCTCCACGATGGGATACCTTTCGTCTAGATTTCCTGGATTTTTTGAACCGCGTATACCGAATACGCTTGATCGGACGGGGTGAACCGAGGACTCCCGATCTCAATCCGTTATACCTAGCTTTGTTCGGCTTACTTTTGAGGACGGTTTAAAATCGTTATAATCATGCGCATTTAAATTTACGTGTTCGGGTTTATCCAAATCTAATCCTAGGACACTCTAGGATTGACTGTTTCGTGTGTAATTTAGTGCGCAACTAATTTCACGCAGTTCTGAATCGTTCTGAAACGTTATAAAATTGGTAAGCCGAACAAAGCTCCTATTTCTTTTTATGGGGACACTTAAACGAGATATACCGTACCCCAGTTCAAACTGTCGAATAATTGCGGGTTCAGAGTGCAATGGCTGCCGATAATCTGCATCTTCGTGAACACAAGACCAAACTAAGCGAACATTCTTGGCTAACACAAGAGTTCGCTCAGTGTGTACGTGTTAGGCAAGTATTAGCCAGAAGTTGGCAAGGAGTTGGCGAAAAGTTGGAGCTGTTGCACTTTGTTCGCTCCCGAGGCGGTACTTCAAATAAATGTTGATCAAGAGTGTTTTCCCAATACATATCCATATACTGCTGGAAGAGTTCTATTCATAATAATCTGAATGTATGAAATCCAGAAAAATGAGACATTTAATGCTCTAAATAATACAATTCTAACCTAATATAGATGAGAGTGTGTGACCCACTGAACGAATACCAAGAAACTACGAATGTCGATGTTGACGAACAGCTCGCCAACTTTTTTCCCAACAAGCTCGTGAACAGCTAGCCGGAAGCTCCCCGACTGATCGCCAACAGCTTGCCAACTGTTACCTAACAATGTTATAGTGAGTGATCTGCAAAAAATGCTTCTAAGGTAGGTCGTGACTCATTACACTAGTTAGAGACCTTTTTGTGGATTAATATATATATATATATATATATAGCTAAATAAAGATTGTGGAGGTAATAATTGCATCGTCTCTTTATTTTCAATTTTCTACTAAGATAAATGATAAAAAGTGCTTTTTTATTAAATTTACATTCATTGAAAATCATACTCTTAGAAAAAAAAAACCAATCGTTTACCTACTCAAACATTTTCGTTTTAATATGAGAGGTTACTTTTTGTTAAGTAAGTCATTGCAAATGCATAATAAGGACATCTATTTTCAAAACATAAACGGGTGATAATCCCTACTTTTCTGAAATTAAGCTAAGTGACATTAATTTTTGATATATGAATAGTCTTACTGAACACCCTGTATTTTCATATTTTTATTTTTAAATCTCGAAATCTCAAAAAAAACAATCGACTCAATACAAGTATTGATATTTATTTACTCCGCTTTTGGTTACGATCTTCCCAGTTCAGCTACGAATTTCCTCAATTACCGCCAAATCCGGCAACGTCGCTTCCCACCGGCCAATGTTTGCATGACTACCGAAGCGCATGCTTTAATTCGCGTCTTACCTACCGTGCTCCGTCTCTTTCTATCCCACGACAGGTTCGAACGGCGTACTTCGACCATGAGCTCCTGTAACATGAGCTTAAGACCTTTTTAGACTAAGGAAATTAAGGTATATTTGGAAGATTTTCGCCCGAGAAGGGTAAAACAGTTGGAAAATGGTCTTCTGCAGCCGGTTTTGGGTGATAATCGGGTTTGTAAAGTTAGTAAATTGTAAAAAACGAAAGTGGGATGTAAACAAGCTAAGTTAGGACGGCCCCGTGCCATATTTAGAATCGTTCGGCTCCATATAAGGATTCGATGTCCTTAGATGGCAGTAAGAGATCCCTCCTTCTATGCGATCGGCACACGTTGTCAAAAGGACGAATCGCGGCTGTTTGCGCTTTTGTGTATTGTTGGTGATCTAGTTTTTGGAGGTGGAAGTTTTTTTTTCGTTAGTACGATGCGTTGTTTGTCGTACCTCTACATTAGGTACTTAGGTAGGAATATCGAAAGTAGACCGTTCAGTACTCTCAGTGGTTGTAGAGTATACACTCATAAACGTTGTTTTTTCATTTAGATGTTTTCAATATTTTTATTTAACCCTTTTACTCATTTTTACATCATCCGGTCAAAAAATGGCTTTTACAATAGCATCTGGTTATACAGGGTGGCGCATGCTATACGCGTCGGTCTCTGTAGGGAAAAGGACTTAAAACTTGAATTTTTTTTCTTAATAGGAATATACATGGCATTAACACTACAAATTAAAAATAAATTGGATTATACAGGGTGACCCAAAAATAGGAATTTATATCAGTTATATTTTTTTAAAGGGAACAGCCTATATTTGATGGTATCTTTTGATTCCCCGGAAAAAATAAAGTTAAGTTTCTGTAATGTTTCCTATACCTATCTTTTTTCGTTTTTGAAATATTTAGAGGATTCTTAATTTTTAAGCTTGAGCAACATAATCTAGTATATCGCGGTTATTTAAAACACATCAACAGTCACCTGCGATATGCGTAGCCAAGAAATGAGACTATCGAATAAAATGCAAATTTTTCCATTACATCATACAGGGTGTTCATTTAGTCTAATTGAATTCAACTTACATATGGAGTTGAATAATAATCTTATTTTAAATGGCACACCCTATATTTAATAACTTAAACTGGTAGACATTTAAATTATCTTTCATTCCATATAAGATTTCCCTATACCTAAATTCAACGGTTTTTTAGTAAATATCTGTTGTTATGTTTAACATAGCTAATTTTTGTAAATACTCTTTCCCGTCTAAGTTACCATTGAATTTAAATGTCAAATGCGAGTTTAACATTTCTATTTAGTAAGTTAGATATCAAATGTACGAAAAATCGAATTTGAAACATGAAAACTTATTCTAAAGAAGAGACAGTTGATATGGTGCTTGTTCTTGGTGAGTGTCATGAGAACTTTATTAGCTTCTAGAGTTTACGGCCAAAAATACCCAGATCGACAGAAACCTGACAGACGTGCTTTTGAAGGATTACTGCAGGCATCGCATCCTAATTTGTCAGTAGTGGGGTAAAGTTTGCGCACTGCTGACACACCTTCAAACGATCTTACTGGCTACTATTAAAGCTCAGTAGCGTACACTACTTTCGCTTAAAAAAAAATTTTTAGGATTTTTATAGCGATCACGATCAGATTAATCAAAAAATTTTAAGAAAATTACCTAAAATTTTAATCCTTAATAACGGTCAAATCGAGTTTGCCCTCGTTTCTAAGAATGGCTATCATTTGATGGCATTATAGGAAATACCAGATTACCTACACAATGGATCAAACGCAATTATGTAAATAAGTTTTTAAGTACTACATAATTTTTTAAAATTTATTTGTTATCTATCACTGCTGTCTTCATTAACATTAATAATAACTGTAGGAATTACAACGTCATCCATTATAATTTATCGATCTAAATATTGACCTTTGACAGCTATTACATGGGCACATCTTTTTTTTCAGACTTCTTGGGTTACTGATTTAAATTCAATTCAGCTAACATATTTGTACATGTGCTTATTTAAAATGAATATTCTTTATAGCTACATTATTTTTTACTACACCCAGATCATTTTTATTGGATTTAAGTCTGGGTGGTATGGTGGTAATTTCAAAACTGTATGTCCGTGTTCGGAGAATAATCTATCAAATGTGTATTGCTTAAATCTATTTTTATGCTGTTTGATTACAGCTGTGGTCGTAATAAGGAAGGTTGAAATTCAATATTTTTGGACGTCAACCAGTTTATCATTTCAGCTTTTCTTGAATTTGAATTCGGAGCAGGATTTTCTATAACATTGTGATACGGTGCATTATCCAAAACTACAATAGCATTTGGTGGTAAATTTAGTAAAAACAGTTCTCTTAGCCACTTTTCATAATTTTCTTGATTCATATTATTATGATAATCACCAGATTTGGCCCCAGACACAAACATTAATAAACTGTTAGGAATAAAGCCCACCAGCATAAACTATAATAAGTCTCTTTCCTTTCGAAATGGTGGAAAACAAACCATTTTGCATTATCATCAACCCAATTATGTGATGATGTATGGCTACTATGTATATAAGTTTCATCAATATATACAATGGGACGGTTTTGAGAACGA